AATAAGACATAACAAGTTGTCATTAGTTTAAAATAATGGGTTATAAGACAGTATTTGCAAACCTCATGGTAATCTCAAAGCAAAAAACATACGATAGGGCTGGGCATGGTGGCTCATGCCTGTAATTCCAGCACTTTGGGAGGCCAAGCTGGGAGGGTCGCTTGAGCCCAGAAATTCAAGAAAAGTTCAGCCTTGGAAACATGGCAAAACCCCACCTCTACAAAAAATACAAAAAATTATCTGGGTGTGGTGGCATGTGCCTGTGGTCCAAGCTATCTGGGAGGCTGAGGTGGGAAGATCACTTGAGCCTGGGAAGTCAAGGGTGCAGTGAACCAAGATTGTGCCAGCCTGGGCAACAGAGCAAGACCCTGTCTTTAAAAAAAAAAAAAAAAAAAGATACAATGTATATACAACAAATAAAAAGCAAGAAATTAAATCATGTCACCAGAAAAAATTACCCTCACTAAAAGGAAGACAGGAAGGAAGGAAAGAAGGAAGACAAGACCAAAAAACAACCAGAAAACAAATAACAAAATGGCAGGAATAAGTCCCAACTTATCAATAAAATAATTGAATGTAAATGGACTAAACTCTCCAATCAAAAGATAGAGTGGTTGAATGGATAAAAAAGCAAGAAACAATGATCTGTGGTGTACAAGAAGCACACTTCATCTGTAAAGATACACTGAAAATAAAGGGATGGAAAAAGATATTCCATGCCAATGGAAACCAAAAAAGAGTAGGAGTAGCTGTTTCTATATCAAACAAATTAGATTTCAAGACAAAAACTATAAGAAGAAACAAAGGAGATCATTACACAATGATAAAGGGGTCAATTTAACAGAAGGATATAACAATTGTAAATCTCTATGTACCCAGCACTGCTGCACTCACATATATAAAGCAAATATTATTAGAGCTAAAGAGAGACACAGGCCACAATACAATAATAGCTGGAGACTTCAACACTTCACTTTCAGCATTAGACAGATCATTCAGATAGAATATCAACAAAGAAACATCAGATATAATCTGTACTATAGACCAAATGAATCTAATAGATATGAACATTTCACAGATACATTGAATATATATTCTGCAGCTGTTCTGTAAATATGTATTAACATTTCTCCTCAGCACATAAATCATTCTGAAGGACTGATCATATGTTAAGTCATAAAATAAGTCTGAAAACATTCAAAATAATTGAAAATTATTCCATTTCAAGCATCTTCTCTGACTACAATGGAATAAAGCCAGAAATCAGTAACGAGGAATTTTGGAAAATATACAAATACATGAAAATTAAACAATATGTTCTAAATGACCAGTGGTAAATAGTAAATGAATGGTCAATGAAGAAATTAAGAGGGAAATTGAAAAAAATCTTGAAACAAATGATAATAGAAACACAACATACCAAAACCTATGGGATAGAGCAAAAGCAGTACTAAGTGCCTACATCCAAAAAAGAAGAAAAACTTCAAATAAATAACCTAATGCATGCATACAATATGTCATGATTACATCGTTTCTGTTGTTTATAGGCCACCCAGTTTATGATATTTTGTTTTAGCAGCCTAAACAGAGTATGACAAGGGGTCTCAATTGGGCACTGTATGTATATGGTTTATTTGTTAAGCTGACTGGTGGGTGTATGGGTTTTTGATGTTATTGTCTATACCTTTCTGTGTCTAAAATATTTCCAGATTAAAAAATAAAAGTATGCAATGGAGTTTGTAAAAATAAATAAATAAATAACCTAATGATGTATCTTAAAGAATTAGAAAAGCAAGAGCAAACCAAACCCAGAATTAGAAGAAAATAATAATGAAGATCAGAGCAGAAGTAAAAGAATTTAAAATAAAGAAAACAATACAAAAGATCAAATGAAAGAAAAAGTCGCTTTTCTGAAGACAGATAAAATTGGCAAATCTTTAAGCCACACTAAGAAAAAGAGACAAGACCCAAATAAATAAAACCAGAGATTAAAAAGGAGACATTACAACTGATACTGCAGAAATTCAAAGGGATCATTAGTGGCTACCATGAGCAACTGCATGCCAACAAACTGGAAAATCTAGAGGAAATGTATAAATTCCTAGACACATATACCTACCAAGTTTGAATCACGGAGAAGTCTAAAACCTGAACAGACAAATAACAAGTAATGAGACTGAAGTCAAAATAGAATTCTCCTAGTAAAGAAAAGCTCAAGACCAATGGCTTCACTGCTGAATTCTACCAAACATTTAAAGAATTAATACCAATCCTCCTCAAACTATTCCAAAAAATAGAGGAGGAAAGAATACTTCCAAACTCTTGTATGAGGCCAGTATTACCCTGATACCAAAACTAGACAAAGACACATCAAAAAAAGAAAACTATAGGCCAATATCTCTGATAAGCACTGATGCAAAAACCCTTAACAAAATACTAGGAAACAGAATTCAACAATACATTAAAAAGATCAGCCAGATGCAGTGACTCAGGCCTGTAA